TTCTGATAATGTTGCTGTTGATGAAGGGACGTCTCATTAAATATTTATTCGTGGGTCTTTTTCCATCTACGCCTGTTTGTCTGTTTGGGTGTCTCTGGCTGTGTGTATCTCTCTCTTGCTCTCTCTTTCTCTCATTCACTTTCTCTCTCTTTCTCTCATTCACACTCTCTCTCACTCTCACTCTCTAATTCATTCTCTCTCTCTCTCTCACTCACTCTCACTCTCGAATTAATTTTCTCTCTCTCTCTCTCCATCTCTCTCACTCTCTAATTCATTTTCTCTCTCTCTCTCACTCTCTAATTCATTCTCTCTCTCTCTCTCTCTCCCTCTCTTTCTCTCTCCTTCATTATCTCTCTCTCTCTCTCTCCTTCCTCTCTCTCCCTCTCCCTCTCCTTCTCTCTCCTTCTCCTCCCCTCTCTCTTTCTCCCTCTCTCTCCTTACCCCCCCCCCCCCTCTCTCTCTCCCTCTCTCTCTCTTCCTTACTTCTTTTCTCTCTATCCCTTCGTCTCCGTTTCTCTCCGCTGCCTCCCTCTTCCGATCTTCTAAACCCTAATATTCGCCATTATTCCCTCCATTTGCTTCTCAAATTAAACGCTCTTTCTTGCATCAAACTACTATAATGCAACTGACGCTCATCCCATAAAGGACATTGATTCGTTGCAGCACTCACGTTGCAGCAATGTTGCAATAGCCAGACACATCGCGGGAAGTATTAGCAATCTCGAAAATTGCAACGTTAAACCTGATGAACTGGCATCGCATTGACAGAAATGAACCTGGTAACTTCACCTTTTAATCCCCGTAAAAAAAAAAAAAAAAAAAAAAAAAAAAAAAACGATATTAACACGGAATATAAGATCTTTTTTTTTGGTGGTTCGAGTGTCGATTGGTTCGACTCACGCTGGATGAAACAGTTTGTTTTTTTCTTCCTGGATAAGCCGTAGGGCGCTTATTCGGACAACTACCTGTGGCCGGTTAATACGCCTCGTCCTTAAAGCGAATTGGTGAGAATTTTTTTTTGTTTTTTGTTTAATCCTCCGGGGTATTCAAGAGCCCAATGAGTTTAGAATCATCTGCTTACATATTTCAGAAGAGGGGGGGGGGGAGACAGACTTTTACTTCCACGCGCCTTAAAATTTGACATTCTGAAGCGAAACTGTGACAGGTTGCTCAATTATACCGACTGGGAATTTTATGAACAGTTGAATCAACACGTCAATGGTGATGTTTATTTATGTTGCCCATTTATGAGGCGGGAATCGAATCAGACCGTTAAGGATATGAACTTCTTGTCACTGATTCAATTTAAGGATGAGACACATACAAACTACATAATAACGGTTGTGCGAATAAGCTTTTCTTGAAGTGCGCGCGCGAGCATACACATATACACGCACACGCACACACACACACAATTTAGTATCATTTATCATTATCATTATCATCATTATAATAATAATAATAATAATAATTATTATTATTATTATTATCATTACTATTATTATTATTATTATCACTATTATTATTATTAGTTATCATTATTATTATTATTATCATTACCATTATTATTATTATTATCACTATTATTATTATTAGTTATCATTATTATTATGTCTTCTATTAATATTACTATTATAATCTTTATCATTATTATTGTTTTTTTTTTATTATCACTGTTATAATATTGATAATTAAAATTATCATCACTGTTCTTACCTGCATCTTTACTAAAGCAACTATAATAAAAAAAAACGATGACCGCATTACTAGTGAAAATAAAGATACGAACACCACACACACACACACACAAAACAATCCTACAAAAACACCGACAACCACAACTAAACCACAACATCTACAACAACAACTTTCCCCCACGCACACAACAACAACCCACACCCCTACTCACGACAACCCCCCTCCCCCCCACACAACAACAACAACAACCCACACCCCTACCCACAACAACACCCCCACACACACAACAACAACCCACTCCCCCCCACACACAACAACCACCCCTTCCCCCCCCCACACACACAACAACAACCACCCACAAACCCCTCCCCCCACACAAGAATAATCTACACCCCTACCCACAACAACCCCCTCCCCCCACACACAACAACAACAACCCCCCCTCCCCCAACAACAACCTCTACCCACTACCCCCTCCCCCCCTCCCCACACACAACAACAACAACAAGCCCCCCTCCCCACACACCACAACAACAACAAGCCCCCCTCCCCCCCTCCCCACACACAACAATAACAACAAGCCCCCCTCCCCCCTCCCCACACACAACAACAACCACCCGCACCCCTACCCACAACCGCAAAGAAAAAAAACAAACCCCACGCCCTAAGCTTACCTCGTTCTCGTGGTACCAGAAGATGTAGGGGGGCGGCTCGGGGCTGTGCTGGACCACGCAAGTCAGGTTGATTGTTGAGCCCGAGTTGATGTGCAAGTCAGGGCCGCCAAGAACTCGGGTCTCTGGTTCTGGCAGAAAGGCGAAGCTGATTATGAGGAACTTTTTTTGGCTGTCAGTGGTGGCGGTGGTGGTACTAGTGTTAGTGGGGATTATTGTTATTGTTAGTTATGTGTTATTAGTGTTTGTAGAATTATTGATATTGTTATTATTAATAGTAGAATTACTGTTATTATTGTTTGCAGAATTATTGATATTGTTATTATTAATACTAGATTTACTGTTATTTTTGTTTGCAGAATTATCGTTATTGTTATTGTCAGTTTTATTATCATTTTATTATTATTACTTATATTGTTATTACTGTCATTATCATTATCATTATTACTATCATCATTATTATTATCATTACCAGTATTATTATCATAGCTATCATTATTGTTATTATTTTTTCTTGTTATTATCATCATTTGTGCATTTGCGTGTGTGTAAAATTAGTCTAACAATCGCTGAATAAAAAAAAGAAAACAAAAAAATCAATATTGGAATATAAATATCACTTCTATGTTATGAACTGGAAATCCACTTGCATGTTGGCAGCGGACACATGGTGTGCAACATTTTACAATATCTTAAAAGTGAAAAGAAATGTATCATAAAACTATTGTAATCAAGGAGAAAGGTGTTAATGGAATCCAAAAGAAAAACAAATAAATGCAATCAAATGTAGCTGTGGTATCTTACGTGCGAAATACATTTTCTTACTAATACACACATATAAATGTACACACACACACACACACACACACACACACACACACACACACACACACACACACACACACACACACACACACACGCACACACACACACATACCCACACATACACATATGAATATATACACCCGTGCACACAACACTCTCAAACAAATAAAACCATAAGAAGAAAAAGAAAAGAAAAAGAAGAAGAAACATACATACAAACAAACACAGCTCATATCTCATATCATAACCATTCTTATCGAGTTCTTCCTATATAAATAACGAATCAGATGCATAGCCCAGGGACCACCTGGCGGACGGACTGCGCACTAAGACTAAAAGGTTTGGGTAACAGTTCACGCGGTAACCAAAATGAGAGAGAGAGAGAGAGAGAGATAGATAGATAGATAGAGAGAGAGAGAGAGAGAGAGAGAGAGAGAGAGAGAGAGAGAGAGAGAGAGAGAGAGAGAGAGAGAGAGGAGAGGTAGGGAGAAAAAGGGAGAGAGAGGGAGAAAAAGGGAGAGAGAGGGAGATAAAGGGAGAGAAAGAGAGAGATAGGGAGATAAAGAGAGAGAGAGGGGGGGGGAGAGGTAGAGAAAGGGAGAGAGAGGAGGGGGGGGGGAAGGGAGAGGCAGAGAAAGGGAGAGAGAGGGGGAGAGAAAGAGAGAGAAAGGGAGAGAAAGAAAGAAAGAAAGAAAGAATGAATTTGAACGCTAACGAAATGGAAAAATGCTTAGAAAAACGGAATCACAAAGTGCGACTTTGAAAAGCGTCGGCCGCAAGTATCCACTTTTAAAGGCAATATGTAACAAAAATAAAAAGAAGGGGGGGGGGGATAAATTCATGCGTGTGGGAAACATTGATTTATATTTAGTCCCTCTTTGTCTGTCTGTCTGTATTTAGGGCTTGCCACACACACAGACACAGACACATACACACGCACGCACGCACGCACGCACACACACACACACACACACACACACACACACACACACACACACACACACCTCCCCCCCCCCACACACACACTCACAAACACACACACAAACACACACCTCCCCCCCCCCCCCACCTCCCCTCGCCCCCGCTAAGCCCCGAGATCAAGCCGCCGGATCATCGGCTCATGGCGGCGGTGAAAACAATTTTCCAGGCTTAACCCGCCGCGCATTCGTGACGGTCTGTGACACCGGGCGCTTCCAGGATGTCTGTGCTTGTTCCAGGAACTCGCGGCGAGATTCGCAAGACAGGGCGGACGGGTTGCTGGGGACAAGAGGGAGAGGGAGGGAGGGAGGGAGAGAGAGAGAGAGGGAGAGGGAGAGGGAGAGGGAGAGGGAGAATGAGAGGGAGAGATGGGAGAGAGAAGATACAAGAGGAAGAGAGAGAGAGAGAGAGAGAGAGAGAGAGAGAGAGAGAGAGAGAGAGAGAGAGAGAGAGAGAGAGAGAGAGAGAGAGAGAGAGAGAGAGAGAGGAGAGAGAGAGAGAGAGAGAGAGAGAGAGAGAGAGAGGGGGGGGAGGAGAAAGAAGATAGAAGGAAGAGGAAGAGAGAGAGAGAGAGAGAGAGAGAGAGAGAGAGAGAGAGAGAGAGAGAGAGAGAGAGAGAGAGAGAGAGCGAGAGAGAGAGAGAGAGCGAGAGAGAGAGAGAGAGAGAGAGAGAGAGAGAGAGAGAGAGAGAGAGAGAGAGAGAGAGAGAGAGAGAGAGAGAGAACTTGGTGTTTGTTTTTGTTTGTTCGTTTTGTTGTTTTCTTTTTTCATACTGCTTTTTGTTTTTATTTTCTTTGTTCTGTTGTTGGTTGTTAACATTTTTTGTACTCGTCTGTTGTTTGTCGTATCAGATGATTTTGTTTATTTGTTGTGCTTGTCGGTTGCTTGATGTTTGTTATTGTTGTTTCTTCCGTTCTTAACTAAGAAAGTATTCGAAGTGCTCTTAAAATCTCGAAAACGTGCCTTCCTCAAGATATTTTCAGTCTTGAAAAAAAAAGTTTGAAAAAAATCTTTCGAAAGTGTCAGAAAAAAATAACTATTCTTAGCGTGCAACTGTGTAAGTATGGGTGACGATCAATCAATCTCTTGATAATGCCAAAACAATATATATTCTTAGGTCGATTTTCGCCTTGTTCTTGATTAATGAAACAGTATGAAAAATACTAATTATGAAATAGTATACCTCATACCTTGAATTAGTATGAAATGATATTCTAAATATCTTGCATTAGTATTACATTACTCTTAATATCTTATATCTGAATTTGTGAAAGAAATATTCTTGATTTCTCGAAAACGCCAGACTGATACACATATCCTAAAGATCACCTAAGACTAATATAGAATAAACACAAGAAAAAGAAAGAAAGAAAGAAAGAAAGAGGGAGAGAGAAAAACAAACAAACATAATTCATGAAAATCGCCACACATTCTTAAAGTACACCGGATTCCAACCTTCACCCAAGTAAGACAGAAATTCGCAAAACCTCTCTCGAACACTTGCGATAACACCAATTATTGATAAAGCCAATGCACGTATCGATAGGCAAGCAAGTCCCGAGATTCGTCCAGCCTCTTCAGAAACACGACCAATAACAGCTCTTATTGACAAAGCCAATACACACATCGCTAAGTAAAGAAGTAAGTCAGAAACTCGTATACCCTCTTCAGAACGGCTGCAATAACGAATGCACTATTGATAAAGCCAATGCACATACCAATACGCGAGCCCGAAATTCGCACGGGCTCTCCAGAAACACTACCAACAACAGCTATTAGTGATAAAACAAAGAATACGCATCACGATAAATAAACAAGTCAAACGTTCTTTTTCAACCTCTCCTGCTGATACTACTGATAAAGCCATTACACATATCGATAAGCGACCAAAGCCAATCAGAAATTCTCTCTCTCACCCTCTTCGCAAAACAAACAAACCAAATTAACGCCTATTCATTGATAAAGCCAACGCGCATATCGACAACAGTACGCAACAACAGGAACCCGACGTCATAAGCACAGCCAGGCCTCGTGCACACACTCCCGGAGGATCGGGTTGCAGAACGAGCAGGGATCGGTTGCAGAACGAAGGACACTGCGGTCATTAGCGATCAGCGGGCAAATGGCAAAGAGAACTGATATCAGATAACAAGTGTCATGCGATGCGGAGGAGGCCATGCAGAAAGGGGGCCACGGAGAGCGGATCATGCAGAGGAGGTAATAGCGAAGGGAGGAGGGGGGTATTGCAGGAGTCATGCAGAGGGGATTATGCAATGAAAGGCCTTCCTATAGGGTTATGGAAAAAAGCTCATGCAGAGGAAGTAATAGAGAGAGGAGTTATGCAGATGAGGTCATGCAGAGGGTGTCATCAATCATATAGGATCATGCACTGGGGGTAATGCAGACGAGGTCATGTAGTATGGGTCATGCAGAAGGGATTACTCATACAGGGTCAAACAGAAGCGTCATGCAGAAGGGGTCACTCATACTGGGTCATATAAAAAAGGCTTCATACAGAAGGGATCATGCAGTGTGGGTCATCCATACGGGGTCACAGGGAAGGAATCATGCAGAGAGAGCCAGGCAAAGGAGGTTATGCAACCAGGGCCATGCATGTTTGACCTTCTCACGCAAGTGGCTCTGGCACTCGACCGGCCGCCGTGCCAAAGTGACCCGCGACAAATAACTCGCATTAAACTCGGAAATGGCCCTTGCGGCACTGCACCCTAACGAGCTGTTATTAAAAGAAAGATGATATTGTTTTCTCTCTCCCTCTCTCTCGCCCTCTCTGTCGGTTTGCCTGTCTGTCTGTTTGTCTGGCTGTCTGTCGGTTTGCCTGTCTGTCTGTCTGTTTCTGTTTCTATCTATCTGTCTCCATCACTCATTCTGTGTGTGTGTGTGTGTGTGTGTGTGTGTGTGTGTGTGTGTGTGTGTGTGTGTGTGTGTGTGTGTGTGTGTGTGTGTGTGTGTGTGTGTGTGTGTGTGTGTGTCCTACCACCCTTTCCCTCTTCCTATCTCTTCCATCTCTTTCTTCTTTTTTATCATATCTCTCATCCTCCTCCTTCGTTGTAAAAAAAGAGAAAGGGGAGAGAACCGAGGAAGAATCAGATATGGAGAGAGAGAGAGAGAGAGAGAGAGAGAGAGAGAGAGAGAGAGAGAGAGAGAGAGAGAGAGAGAGAGAGAGAGAGAGAGAGAGGGGGGGGGGTTAGACAAGGAGAGATAGACAAACAGATAGATAGGTAGATAGATAGATAGACAGATAGAGAAAGGAGAAAGTAGAGAGAGAAAAGAGAGAAGAGAGAGAAGAGAGAGAGGAGAGAGAAAAAAG